GTTGTTTGCAGACAAGTGGACGGATGTGTATGAACTAACCATTAATATCGAGCATGATTAAACACACAATGTGCAAGAACCATGGAATAAGAAATACAGCCAATCATGAGTTTGAAGTCGCTAACAGTTATATGGACGGAAAATATGCAAATTTATACGGGATGCACGGATATGTTTGTTGCAGATGAAAATTTGCATATTATTTGCCTGTAACTTCTCTGCGTTTTTTGCATATTTGATGAATGTTAAAAAGTATCCCGGGGGTTGTGCATCACCGTATACCGCATCGTACCGTACTCACAGAGTACCGCTTTGTAATTGTACTGTATATTGCAGCCCACTATCACCGCTTCGAAAGGATGCATGTTCAGGACGGGGGCGGGGGAGGGAGACGGATGTATCACCGCTTTCAACGTCGACACATCTCATTTCGATATAAACACCGCTCAGTGATTGCGCGCAAGAAATAAGTGAGATGCATCGACGTTGCAAACGCGGTACGGCCCGCTGACGTATGACTACGATCAGTTGCGATAGCAGGCAAATTTGAATTCACGTCACTTACTAATGGCGGCGAATTAGGCGGGGGAAGGAGTATGGAGGTAGTCCCGCCCACACCATTGGTGTCCTGGCCTGGGCAGAAGGGGGAGGGGGAAGAGGGGAGAGAAACAGCGAAATGCAGTGGTAGTTGGAAATGAGGGGTATACTAGTTCACTTCACCTCAAGAACTGCGAAAGCTTGGAAGTTGAAGTTGTCTTATTCAGTGTGCGTGGTAGCGATGGGCCGTTGATTCGTCGATACGCACAAATGATCAAACCCCGTCCTCGGCTGAATAGTGGCATAATATGAAGCCCCCTTCTTTCTTCCCCATTCCCCCTCCATGAGAAACGGTACTTCAAAGTTTGATGCAAAAACACATGATCGCACCGGCTCGCCTGGTGCGTTCCAGCCTTTGTTTGAAAATGATCCAGCTATTCAGTGAGTAATTCCTCCGCCAAAAGTTTAGGTGCCCGCACACGCGAACCAAGCGTACCTGGAGGCTGAATTTGAAGCCTTTAAGCTGTGTTTAGACGGGGGATATTCTCCTAAAATCTCAGCTTTCCGGCTTTTTTGGTTCCCGAGCGAGCATTTTCCCGCCAAAACCTTCACAGGACCGTACGTGACCTGG